TTTTTGAAAAGCTGCTGGGTTTACTGTTCTGTTTGTTGCTTAAATTTGAGCGTTCCAGGGTTTTGTCAGCGTATGGGGGGTTCTGTTAAACTTGATTCAACTTAGCGTAGTTTTATCGATATCAGTGGCTTGTCTTAGCTGTTTGAATAAAAACTGAAATGACATATTAGATGAGACGATCATTTTAAGCGCAATAAATCATCACAATAATTGGTCTGCTATACATGCAAGAACGATTCAAAGTGCTTTACATCTTTTTCGAAATTTCTTTTAAAAGTTCAAGTGAAAATGTTTATATAAATCGTTTGCGTGTTAGGAACAAAGATGCGAACGTTAAAATGTATGTTGAATGTGCTTGTTGTTGTTGTTGTCGTTTTAAGTTCGGTTTGACAGTTTACAGCAGAGTTCGTTCTTATCAAATTCAATGCCTTTCAAATTATCCTAAAGCTGCGGTATTGCAGTTGGATCGTTCTTGCATGAATGCTCAAATTTATGTCAAACTGGCGTGCTCTTTTGCGTGAAGATGTGATTCTAGTTGCAAAGACGCTATTAGTCAAAAATGTTGTTTGTCTAAAGCTGCTGTTTTCTCAACCATATTATCAACGATCACATGTTGGTTGTAATGGCATTTTTGTTTTTTCGGTGTAGCGCAGCATTTAAATATAGATGTGTGATGTTTTGTTTTATGTTAGTGTTTGCACTTTTTTTTTTTTTTTCTTTTTTTTTTTTTATGTTATAGGTATATACATATATACACACATTTTTTCTTTATTTTGTTTTTCTTTCTAACAAAGAAATTTGGGATGCTGGAAAGACACTGCTGACAGAGCTGTAGCGACTTTAGAAGGTTCAGTAGCACTTCTGGATGGTTCGGATTACACAAATCGTGCAGATGCTATTAAAAAGTGTTACGAGGCCGCTAAACTAAGAGGATTTACAGTGTTTGCAGTTCAAAACGGAGGCTGGTGTGCAGCCGGCAACGGAGAATCGTACAAAAAGTACGGCGCTTCAAACGACTGCAAAGGAGACGGAAAGGGAGGTCCATGGGCAAACCAAGTTTACAAAATCGCTGAGAAACTGCCATATAAGTATGTATAATTGAGAATTTAGTGTGTGTCAGTCAATGTTTTTGTTCAACTAACTGTTCAAGTTTCACTAAGTGAATATATCTTGCTTCTTTTTTTGTTCAGACCTTTAGTATGCATAAAAATGTCAAGATAATTTTTTGTTCGTGAACGTGTCTTTCTTATTCTAATTGGGTTTTGTTATGAAATGACTTGTTTTGCGGTAAATGCGTAGAGTTGTTATTTTCAGTGCTCTTAATTTGTGTTTTGTTATTTGCACGTAATTATATCTTTTTTGTTTGCACATTACAGCTACGCAGGTTGCTGGAAAGATACTGCTGATAGGGCTGTTGCAACGTTGGAAGGTTTAGTTGCTATTTTGGATGGTCCATATAAAAACCGTGCTGATGCCATCAAAAAATGTTACACAGCAGCTAAACAGCGCAATTTCGCATACTTTGCTGTTCAAGATGGTGGATGGTGCGCAGCTGGCAGTGGTATTGCATACAAAAAGTATGGATCGTCAGGTGACTGTCGTGCAGATGGCAAAGGAGGTCCTTGGGCTAATGATGTTTACATAATTAAAGACGCTTTGCCGTTCGGGTATGTTATTGTGTTCTAAATGCGCTTGGATTATGTGCGTGTAGTTATGTTGAACAAATTTTTGAAAAGCTGCTGGGTTTACTGTTCTGTTTGTTGCTTAAATTTGAGCGTTCCAGGGTTTTGTCAGCGTATGGGGGGTTCTGTTAAACTTGATTCAACTTAGCGTAGTTTTATCGATATCAGTGGCTTGTCTTAGCTGTTTGAATAAAAACTGAAATGACATATTAGATGAGACGATCATTTTAAGCGCAATAAATCATCACAATAATTGGTCTGCTATACATGCAAGAACGATGCAAAGTGCTTTACATCTTTTTCGAAATTTCTTTTAAAAGTTCAAGTGAAAATGTTTATATAAATCGTTTGCGTGTTAGGAACAAAGATGCGAACGTTAAAATATATGTTGAATGTGCTTGTTGTTGTTGTTGTCGTTTTAAGTTCGGTTTGACAGTTTACAGCAGAGTTCGTTCTTATCAAATTCAATGCCTTTCAAATTATCCTAAAGCTGCGGTATTGCAGTTGGATCGTTCTTGCATGAATGCTCAAATTTATGTCAAACTGGCGTGCTCTTTTGCGTGAAGATGTGATTCTAGTTGCAAAGACGCTATTAGTCAAAAATGTTGTTTGTCTAAAGCTGCTGTTTTCTCAACCATATTATCAACGATCACATGTTGGTTGTAATGGCATTTTTGTTTTTTCGGTGTAGCGCAGCATTTAAATATAGATGTGTGATGTTTTGTTTTATGTTAGTGTTTGCACTTTTTTTTTTTTTTTCTTTTTTTTTTTTTATGTTATAGGTATATACATATATACACACATTTTTTCTTTATTTTGTTTTTCTTTCTAACAAAGAAATTTGGGATGCTGGAAAGACACTGCTGACAGAGCTGTAGCGACTTTAGAAGGTTCAGTAGCACTTCTGGATGGTTCGGATTACACAAATCGTGCAGATGCTATTAAAAAGTGTTACGAGGCCGCTAAACTAAGAGGATTTACAGTGTTTGCAGTTCAAAACGGAGGCTGGTGTGCAGCCGGCAACGGAGAATCGTACAAAAAGTACGGCGCTTCAAACGACTGCAAAGGAGACGGAAAGGGAGGTCCATGGGCAAACCAAGTTTACAAAATCGCTGAGAAACTGCCATATAAGTATGTATAATTGAGAATTTAGTGTGTGTCAGTCAATGTTTTTGTTCAACTAACTGTTCAAGTTTCACTAAGTGAATATATCTTGCTTCTTTTTTTGTTCAGACCTTTAGTATGCATAAAAATGTCAAGATAATTTTTTGTTCGTGAACGTGTCTTTCTTATTCTAATTGGGTTTTGTTATGAAATGACTTGTTTTGCGGTAAATGCGTAGAGTTGTTATTTTCAGTGCTCTTAATTTGTGTTTTGTTATTTGCACGTAATTATATCTTTTTTGTTTGCACATTACAGCTACGCAGGTTGCTGGAAAGATACTGCTGATAGGGCTGTTGCAACGTTGGAAGGTTTAGTTGCTATTTTGGATGGTCCATATAAAAACCGTGCTGATGCCATCAAAAAATGTTACACAGCAGCTAAACAGCGCAATTTCGCATACTTTGCTGTTCAAGATGGTGGATGGTGCGCAGCTGGCAGTGGTATTGCATACAAAAAGTATGGATCGTCAGGTGACTGTCGTGCAGATGGCAAAGGAGGTCCTTGGGCTAATGATGTTTACATAATTAAAGACGCTTTGCCGTTCGGGTATGTTATTGTGTTCTAAATGCGCTTGGATTATGTGCGTGTAGTTATGTTGAACAAATTTTTGAAAAGCTGCTGGGTTTACTGTTCTGTTTGTTGCTTAAATTTGAGCGTTCCAGGGTTTTGTCAGCGTATGGGGGGTTCTGTTAAACTTGATTCAACTTAGCGTAGTTTTATCGATATCAGTGGCTTGTCTTAGCTGTTTGAATAAAAACTGAAATGACATATTAGATGAGACGATCATTTTAAGCGCAATAAATCATCACAATAATTGGTCTGCTATACATGCAAGAACGATGCAAAGTGCTTTACATCTTTTTCGAAATTTCTTTTAAAAGTTCAAGTGAAAATGTTTATATAAATCGTTTGCGTGTTAGGAACAAAGATGCGAACGTTAAAATATATGTTGAATGTGCTTGTTGTTGTTGTTGTCGTTTTAAGTTCGGTTTGACAGTTTACAGCAGAGTTCGTTCTTATCAAATTCAATGCCTTTCAAATTATCCTAAAGCTGCGGTATTGCAGTTGGATCGTTCTTGCATGAATGCTCAAATTTATGTCAAACTGGCGTGCTCTTTTGCGTGAAGATGTGATTCTAGTTGCAAAGACGCTATTAGTCAAAAATGTTGTTTGTCTAAAGCTGCTGTTTTCTCAACCATATTATCAACGATCACATGTTGGTTGTAATGGCATTTTTGTTTTTTCGGTGTAGCGCAGCATTTAAATATAGATGTGTGATGTTTTGTTTTATGTTAGTGTTTGCACTTTTTTTTTTTTTTTCTTTTTTTTTTTTTATGTTATAGGTATATACATATATACACACATTTTTTCTTTATTTTGTTTTTCTTTCTAACAAAGAAATTTGGGATGCTGGAAAGACACTGCTGACAGAGCTGTAGCGACTTTAGAAGGTTCAGTAGCACTTCTGGATGGTTTGGATTACACAAATCGTGCAGATGCTATTAAAAAGTGTTACGAGGCCGCTAAACTAAGAGGATTTACAGTGTTTGCAGTTCAAAACGGAGGCTGGTGTGCAGCCGGCAACGGAGAATCGTACAAAAAGTACGGCGCTTCAAACGACTGCAAAGGAGACGGAAAGGGAGGTCCATGGGCAAACCAAGTTTACAAAATCGCTGAGAAACTGCCATATAAGTATGTATAATTGAGAATTTAGTGTGTGTCAGTCAATGTTTTTGTTCAACTAACTGTTCAAGTTTCACTAAGTGAATATATCTTGCTTCTTTTTTTGTTCAGACCTTTAGTATGCATAAAAATGTCAAGATAATTTTTTGTTCGTGAACGTGTCTTTCTTATTCTAATTGGGTTTTGTTATGAAATGACTTGTTTTGCGGTAAATGCGTAGAGTTGTTATTTTCAGTGCTCTTAATTTGTGTTTTGTTATTTGCACGTAATTATATCTTTTTTGTTTGCACATTACAGCTACGCAGGTTGCTGGAAAGATACTGCTGATAGGGCTGTTGCAACGTTGGAAGGTTTAGTTGCTATTTTGGATGGTCCATATAAAAACCGTGCTGATGCCATCAAAAAATGTTACACAGCAGCTAAACAGCGCAATTTCGCATACTTTGCTGTTCAAGATGGTGGATGGTGCGCAGCTGGCAGTGGTATTGCATACAAAAAGTATGGATCGTCAGGTGACTGTCGTGCAGATGGCAAAGGAGGTCCTTGGGCTAATGATGTTTACATAATTAAAGACGCTTTGCCGTTCGGGTATGTTATTGTGTTCTAAATGCGCTTGGATTATGTGCGTGTAGTTATGTTGAACAAATTTTTGAAAAGCTGCTGGGTTTACTGTTCTGTTTGTTGCTTAAATTTGAGCGTTCCAGGGTTTTGTCAGCGTATGGGGGGTTCTGTTAAACTTGATTCAACTTAGCGTAGTTTTATCGATATCAGTGGCTTGTCTTAGCTGTTTGAATAAAAACTGAAATGACATATTAGATGAGACGATCATTTTAAGCGCAATAAATCATCACAATAATTGGTCTGCTATACATGCAAGAACGATTCAAAGTGCTTTACATCTTTTTCGAAATTTCTTTTAAAAGTTCAAGTGAAAATGTTTATATAAATCGTTTGCGTGTTAGGAACAAAGATGCGAACGTTAAAATGTATGTTGAATGTGCTTGTTGTTGTTGTTGTCGTTTTAAGTTCGGTTTGACAGTTTACAGCAGAGTTCGTTCTTATCAAATTCAATGCCTTTCAAATTATCCTAAAGCTGCGGTATTGCAGTTGGATCGTTCTTGCATGAATGCTCAAATTTATGTCAAACTGGCGTGCTCTTTTGCGTGAAGATGTGATTCTAGTTGCAAAGACGCTATTAGTCAAAAATGTTGTTTGTCTAAAGCTGCTGTTTTCTCAACCATATTATCAACGATCACATGTTGGTTGTAATGGCATTTTTGTTTTTTCGGTGTAGCGCAGCATTTAAATATAGATGTGTGATGTTTTGTTTTATGTTAGTGTTTGCACTTTTTTTTTTTTTTTCTTTTTTTTTTTTTATGTTATAGGTATATACATATATACACACATTTTTTCTTTATTTTGTTTTTCTTTCTAACAAAGAAATTTGGGATGCTGGAAAGACACTGCTGACAGAGCTGTAGCGACTTTAGAAGGTTCAGTAGCACTTCTGGATGGTTCGGATTACACAAATCGTGCAGATGCTATTAAAAAGTGTTACGAGGCCGCTAAACTAAGAGGATTTACAGTGTTTGCAGTTCAAAACGGAGGCTGGTGTGCAGCCGGCAACGGAGAATCGTACAAAAAGTACGGCGCTTCAAACGACTGCAAAGGAGACGGAAAGGGAGGTCCATGGGCAAACCAAGTTTACAAAATCGCTGAGAAACTGCCATATAAGTATGTATAATTGAGAATTTAGTGTGTGTCAGTCAATGTTTTTGTTCAACTAACTGTTCAAGTTTCACTAAGTGAATATATCTTGCTTCTTTTTTTGTTCAGACCTTTAGTATGCATAAAAATGTCAAGATAATTTTTTGTTCGTGAACGTGTCTTTCTTATTCTAATTGGGTTTTGTTATGAAATGACTTGTTTTGCGGTAAATGCGTAGAGTTGTTATTTTCAGTGCTCTTAATTTGTGTTTTGTTATTTGCACGTAATTATATCTTTTTTGTTTGCACATTACAGCTACGCAGGTTGCTGGAAAGATACTGCTGATAGGGCTGTTGCAACGTTGGAAGGTTTAGTTGCTATTTTGGATGGTCCATATAAAAACCGTGCTGATGCCATCAAAAAATGTTACACAGCAGCTAAACAGCGCAATTTCGCATACTTTGCTGTTCAAGATGGTGGATGGTGCGCAGCTGGCAGTGGTATTGCATACAAAAAGTATGGATCGTCAGGTGACTGTCGTGCAGATGGCAAAGGAGGTCCTTGGGCTAATGATGTTTACATAATTAAAGACGCTTTGCCGTTCGGGTATGTTATTGTGTTCTAAATGCGCTTGGATTATGTGCGTGTAGTTATGTTGAACAAATTTTTGAAAAGCTGCTGGGTTTACTGTTCTGTTTGTTGCTTAAATTTGAGCGTTCCAGGGTTTTGTCAGCGTATGGGGGGTTCTGTTAAACTTGATTCAACTTAGCGTAGTTTTATCGATATCAGTGGCTTGTCTTAGCTGTTTGAATAAAAACTGAAATGACATATTAGATGAGACGATCATTTTAAGCGCAATAAATCATCACAATAATTGGTCTGCTATACATGCAAGAACGATGCAAAGTGCTTTACATCTTTTTCGAAATTTCTTTTAAAAGTTCAAGTGAAAATGTTTATATAAATCGTTTGCGTGTTAGGAACAAAGATGCGAACGTTAAAATATATGTTGAATGTGCTTGTTGTTGTTGTTGTCGTTTTAAGTTCGGTTTGACAGTTTACAGCAGAGTTCGTTCTTATCAAATTCAATGCCTTTCAAATTATCCTAAAGCTGCGGTATTGCAGTTGGATCGTTCTTGCATGAATGCTCAAATTTATGTCAAACTGGCGTGCTCTTTTGCGTGAAGATGTGATTCTAGTTGCAAAGACGCTATTAGTCAAAAATGTTGTTTGTCTAAAGCTGCTGTTTTCTCAACCATATTATCAACGATCACATGTTGGTTGTAATGGCATTTTTGTTTTTTCGGTGTAGCGCAGCATTTAAATATAGATGTGTGATGTTTTGTTTTATGTTAGTGTTTGCACTTTTTTTTTTTTTTTCTTTTTTTTTTTTTATGTTATAGGTATATACATATATACACACATTTTTTCTTTATTTTGTTTTTCTTTCTAACAAAGAAATTTGGGATGCTGGAAAGACACTGCTGACAGAGCTGTAGCGACTTTAGAAGGTTCAGTAGCACTTCTGGATGGTTCGGATTACACAAATCGTGCAGATGCTATTAAAAAGTGTTACGAGGCCGCTAAACTAAGAGGATTTACAGTGTTTGCAGTTCAAAACGGAGGCTGGTGTGCAGCCGGCAACGGAGAATCGTACAAAAAGTACGGCGCTTCAAACGACTGCAAAGGAGACGGAAAGGGAGGTCCATGGGCAAACCAAGTTTACAAAATCGCTGAGAAACTGCCATATAAGTATGTATAATTGAGAATTTAGTGTGTGTCAGTCAATGTTTTTGTTCAACTAACTGTTCAAGTTTCACTAAGTGAATATATCTTGCTTCTTTTTTTGTTCAGACCTTTAGTATGCATAAAAATGTCAAGATAATTTTTTGTTCGTGAACGTGTCTTTCTTATTCTAATTGGGTTTTGTTATGAAATGACTTGTTTTGCGGTAAATGCGTAGAGTTGTTATTTTCAGTGCTCTTAATTTGTGTTTTGTTATTTGCACGTAATTATATCTTTTTTGTTTGCACATTACAGCTACGCAGGTTGCTGGAAAGATACTGCTGATAGGGCTGTTGCAACGTTGGAAGGTTTAGTTGCTATTTTGGATGGTCCATATAAAAACCGTGCTGATGCCATCAAAAAATGTTACACAGCAGCTAAACAGCGCAATTTCGCATACTTTGCTGTTCAAGATGGTGGATGGTGCGCAGCTGGCAGTGGTATTGCATACAAAAAGTATGGATCGTCAGGTGACTGTCGTGCAGATGGCAAAGGAGGTCCTTGGGCTAATGATGTTTACATAATTAAAGACGCTTTGCCGTTCGGGTATGTTATTGTGTTCTAAATGCGCTTGGATTATGTGCGTGTAGTTATGTTGAACAAATTTTTGAAAAGCTGCTGGGTTTACTGTTCTGTTTGTTGCTTAAATTTGAGCGTTCCAGGGTTTTGTCAGCGTATGGGGGGTTCTGTTAAACTTGATTCAACTTAGCGTAGTTTTATCGATATCAGTGGCTTGTCTTAGCTGTTTGAATAAAAACTGAAATGACATATTAGATGAGACGATCATTTTAAGCGCAATAAATCATCACAATAATTGGTCTGCTATACATGCAAGAACGATTCAAAGTGCTTTACATCTTTTTCGAAATTTCTTTTAAAAGTTCAAGTGAAAATGTTTATATAAATCGTTTGCGTGTTAGGAACAAAGATGCGAACGTTAAAATGTATGTTGAATGTGCTTGTTGTTGTTGTTGTCGTTTTAAGTTCGGTTTGACAGTTTACAGCAGAGTTCGTTCTTATCAAATTCAATGCCTTTCAAATTATCCTAAAGCTGCGGTATTGCAGTTGGATCGTTCTTGCATGAATGCTCAAATTTATGTCAAACTGGCGTGCTCTTTTGCGTGAAGATGTGATTCTAGTTGCAAAGACGCTATTAGTCAAAAATGTTGTTTGTCTAAAGCTGCTGTTTTCTCAACCATATTATCAACGATCACATGTTGGTTGTAATGGCATTTTTGTTTTTTCGGTGTAGCGCAGCATTTAAATATAGATGTGTGATGTTTTGTTTTATGTTAGTGTTTGCACTTTTTTTTTTTTTTTCTTTTTTTTTTTTTATGTTATAGGTATATACATATATACACACATTTTTTCTTTATTTTGTTTTTCTTTCTAACAAAGAAATTTGGGATGCTGGAAAGACACTGCTGACAGAGCTGTAGCGACTTTAGAAGGTTCAGTAGCACTTCTGGATGGTTCGGATTACACAAATCGTGCAGATGCTATTAAAAAGTGTTACGAGGCCGCTAAACTAAGAGGATTTACAGTGTTTGCAGTTCAAAACGGAGGCTGGTGTGCAGCCGGCAACGGAGAATCGTACAAAAAGTACGGCGCTTCAAACGACTGCAAAGGAGACGGAAAGGGAGGTCCATGGGCAAACCAAGTTTACAAAATCGCTGAGAAACTGCCATATAAGTATGTATAATTGAGAATTTAGTGTGTGTCAGTCAATGTTTTTGTTCAACTAACTGTTCAAGTTTCACTAAGTGAATATATCTTGCTTCTTTTTTTGTTCAGACCTTTAGTATGCATAAAAATGTCAAGATAATTTTTTGTTCGTGAACGTGTCTTTCTTATTCTAATTGGGTTTTGTTATGAAATGACTTGTTTTGCGGTAAATGCGTAGAGTTGTTATTTTCAGTGCTCTTAATTTGTGTTTTGTTATTTGCACGTAATTATATCTTTTTTGTTTGCACATTACAGCTACGCAGGTTGCTGGAAAGATACTGCTGATAGGGCTGTTGCAACGTTGGAAGGTTTAGTTGCTATTTTGGATGGTCCATATAAAAACCGTGCTGATGCCATCAAGAAATGTTACACAGCAGCTAAACAGCGCAATTTCGCATACTTTGCTGTTCAAGATGGTGGATGGTGCGCAGCTGGCAGTGGTATTGCATACAAAAAGTATGGATCGTCAGGTGACTGTCGTGCAGATGGCAAAGGAGGTCCTTGGGCTAATGATATTTATGTTATTAATTGTATTTGAATAACTTTTCTTGTGTGATTTAAGACTAGGTTTTTTTTATATTGAAAAATGTTTTTTTTTATTATGTAAACTTTTTTAATGCTTTTTTTTAATACTTTTTTGCCCTGCGACATTCTTGTAATTCTTTTTTGCCTTCCGACTTTTTCTAATATTTTTTTCTCTTTCGGAATTTTTTTAATACCTTGTTGCCTTATGACATTTTATTATTGATTATTATTAAGATTTTAATTGTCTGTTTCTTCGTAATTTTTTTTTTGACATTTTTTTTGTTTTACTTATTATTGATTATTTTCGTTATTAATTACATCTTTATTAAAAAAAACATGTTTAAACGTTATGTCTCATTGCGTTTGATTAAATCGGTCTGAACTAGGGTTGTTCGCCGCAAAACAATACTTGCGAAAATTTCGCATCTTTATCTACCGTAATAGAATTGTTATTACGGAAGTTGCACATGCGAAAATGCACATTCCGTAACGCGCTATACGAAAATATAAATAAATAAAATTCCGTAATAAAGCATCGCGAAAGAAAACTTGCGAAACAAATCATTTCGTAAGAATACTTACGAAATAGTTCCTTACGGAAAAAGCATTCCGGAATGAGTAGTTACGAAAAAGACGCAAAAGATTTTATGTTACGATATATTTAAGATATTAACTGTTAACAGTTCAAATAATTAACTATAAAATTATAAAAAAATGTCAAATAATTCTTCAAATGTTTATACAAATATACCTAATATATATATATATATATATATATATATATATATATATATATATATATATATATATATATATATATATATATATATATATATTTATACATTAACGGGATTTTACTGTATATATATGTATATATATATATATATATATATATATATATATATATATATCTATATATATATATATATATATATATATATTTATATATATATATTCATATATATATATATAAATATATATATATATATATATATATATATATATATATATATACATTAACGGGATTTTACTGTATATATATGTATATATATATATATATATATATATATATATATATATATATATATATAAATATATACTTATATATACAGTAAAATCCCGTTAAGTTGGACTCTCAATGAATAGATAAACAGTATGCCTTTCTTTTTAAAAAGTATAAAGAGGATGTGTGATAAACAGTTAAATACTTTATTATAAAGAACGAGAGATCTCTCTAAAGGTAAATGATATCAGAAAGAGTAAAAAGAGAAGAAATAAATGTGAAACAGCGGGATGTGAACCTGGGTCTACGCGGCCAAATGTCTTAACTGAATGAGCTATACGTTCATTCAACTAAGAGAATAGTAATATTTATTTAATATATAATTTGAAACTATATAAAACAGAATTTACAGAAAGAGATACGTATGCAAATAGGATTCTTTATATCAGGAAAATGAATAGTAATGTGAACCTTTAGATGCTTATAATTAATATCTGGACTCAAAAACTAGTTACTTTTAATGGAACACAATAGGCTGTAGGAGCCTCAGGGAAATTATATTCAGAAATGGTTATATTAGACTCAGAGTTAGCTAGAAATTATTACAAAGTATTTAGGACAGATGTCTAGTACAAAAAGCAAAAGTTTTAAAGCAAAATGAATTATATTAATTGAAAAAATTGTTTTACGTACATTTCATCATAATTTAAGTAGAACTTAGTAAAGCAAGGGAAACGTGTTGAATTAAGCACAATGAACTCAATCTTAAAAGAATAACTAACAGAAGAGAGGTTGTCACTATTGTGAAGGCAACGAAAGATCTGTAATATAGAACATGGAGGTCAAAAAATGCTATCTTAAGTAAAAAGAGTTTCATGAACAAAAGTTACAATGGCTGCGGGATGCGAACCCGGATCTCTGCGGCGAATTATCACGTATCTAACTGATTGAACTATACAATCTTATACTCAAATTTATATCTTATTAAAATTAAAAAACAATATTTTCTATTATCTATACTTTGAAAAGCGTATTCAAACAGGACTCTACATACCTTTAAAATCTGCTAGAGTTTTAGTAACGTGCACACTTTTAGAAATTATTGAAATAGGTATATTTTATCAGAAATATGCTTAAGCTAAAGCATATTTTTGAGCCTCTTTTTACTATTTGCTTAAGCATATTCGAACCTGTTTCAAAAATTTCATATGCTTTAAAAAAAAAACATGTATATTCCTATCCATCATTCTTATTTTTAATATACGTAATGAGTTCAAAAAACATCGTTGTATATATTTATTATGGCACGTTTCGTAAGTTTATTTCCGTTAAGAATTCTTTCGTATGTTGTGATCCGAAATACTTTCGTTTCGAAAGAAATTTTATTTCTTATCAATATTTCTAAAAATAAAACCGTAAAAATTTAATAAATTATTTTACTGAAAATAAAAATTCATTATAAACATTTTGGGATTTAAAGATGTTAATTTTTACAATTAAAATCAGTCTGGCAAACAAATTTTCTTTACAGACTTCAAAACGTCGTTTGGCGAAAATGTTTGTTTCGCAAGTGCGACTTCCGAAACCGCTACTTTCGTATGTTGCAAAATAGTTTTGTTTCGTATGTCAACTTGCGAAATGCTAAATTTCGGAAGTGGCTTTTGCGAAATGAACATCGGCGATTTTAAATGTTTTGTAACATTCGGTACGAAAAAATGTAATTCCCTGTTCTCAATCTCCTTACGAAAGAATGTTGTTTTTCCGGAATTGCACGAAATCCTCCGGTTAACAACCCTAATCTGAACCCTTTCTTTGGCCTATTTAGGAATTTAAAAAATACTTAACGATTTTTCATAATGAAATTGTTTCATGGCTAACTAATAATAATTATACTAATAATAGATAACAGCCTTTGTCAATGCGCTGCTTGCGTATAATAGTTCTGTTTAAGAATATTATTTTGTAGCTATTAACATTTTTTGTTGAGTAATTTTCTCCTGAATATTGTTTTTGTATGATATATGTATTAAAAGTAATTTATAAAAGTGATAAAATTTATTTATTAATCCTTTTTTTTTTAAATTTTGTTTATAACCTAACTCGTTTTCATTGACTTTTTTTTAAATTAACTTAATTGTATCTAAAACAAATTGTGTTTCAACAATTCAGTAAATTTAAATTTATAATTTGCCATGCACCGAAGGGGGAGGGGGTGTTCTAAGTTGAGTAATTTGCGTTCGATTGCGTAAGGGGGAGGAGGCGGAGGGTAAAACAAATGTATGTACGTAATCGAAAAAAATTGAAAAGGCAGCTCACGCTCACTTGCCCATTAGTAAAAGGTAAACGCAGCGCAACATTTATGACCTGTTAAGGTTATAAAGATTAAGCAGCGCAAAAAAAAAAATCACGTGAATAGAATCCTTTGATAAATCGCCTAACAAGAATAACAAAAAGTTCAGATATTTCTTAAAATCTTAAAAACAGATATTTCAGACTACTTTCCTAGTTTTCTAACCATAAGCACTGACCAACCGCCTAAACAAAAATTAAATAAAATTGTCAAAAAACGTTTTTTTAAACCATCAAGTATTGAGTCTTTTAATAATCAGCTTTCATTATTACATTGGAAGCACAAAAATTTAAATGAAAACGCAAACAACCTTTATGAAAAGTTCTTTGAAACATTCACCTCTGTTAACGAGTCTAATTTTACGATTGTTACAATTACATTAAAAACAAAACACTTTAATAAACCCTGGATTACTAAGGGATTCAAAACATCATCCAAAACTAAACAAAAGCTATCAATAAAATATTTGAACAAATAAACACCAACCAGCATAAAAGTCTATAAAGATTCAAAAAATCTGTTTGAAAAAATCCGAAAAAATTAAAAAAAAAAACTTACTATTCAAAATTAACTAATAAAGCTAATGATTCAAAACGCACTTGGGAAATATTGAAAGAAATAACTAGAAAACAAAAAAACATGCTCATGCTCTTTACAACAAATGTTTTAAGTCGATATCAATAGCTTGTATGAACCACAAGTAAGAGCTAATGAATTCAGTAAATATTTCACTTAAATTGGATCATCTCTACCAAGTAAAATACCAAAAACCTAAACCTTGTTTTATGATTTTTTGGTATTTATTGATAAAGATATTTGTTTTAAAGAACTATTTGCTTGAACTATCATTTGATGAGTTTGAGAAAGCTTTCATATCTTTTTAAAAAAATAAAGCACCTAGTGCAGATGAAATAAACGGAAATATTGTTATAGATTGCTACGAATTGTTAAAAACTATTCCTTTTAAAATTTTCAGAGCATCTATTCATTAAGGTATTTTTTATGAACGTTTAAAACTCGCCAGGGATACCCCTAACAATAAAGAAGGTGACAGATCCAATATCAATAACTATTGTCCTATCTCTGTTTTGTCTATATTTTCTAAAGTTTTAGAAAGTCTTATCTTCAACAGGGTATACAATTATTTTAACTACAACAACTTTTTTTTTTTAATTTATTTCGTCATTAAATGAATAATCTTTTACAATAGTTTTTTACAACATAAAAATTATAACATTAAAGTTTCGACCGGAGCTGGCAGAAGACATGATCTTATCATCCAGCCCCGTTAATATAACTAAAAAATTCAGCCGATAAAAATGAAAAAAGGAAAAAAGAAACTAAAGCAAGAACTGATTTTAAGAAGAAAAGAACTTAAAAATCAAATTATTATTTACAGAAAGATAAATAAAAAAAAAAAAAATTAATTATTTCTTCTTCTTCTTCTTATTTTTTTTAATTCTCTATTTTATTCTACTTTTATTTTTATTATACAAGCACGCACACACACATACGCACACGTACACACAAATATATGTCCGTTCATATATACATACAAATCAAATAAATCTGTATTACATTCCATCTACAAATTGCGTAAGATATAATAAATATTGCATTTACAAATTACGTTATTATTGTAAAATAAAATAATATCATACATGTTCTAAGTACCATACAATATAATTGTGATGTTGAGTCAATTTATAAGACATTAAATA